TTATATATTTTTTGTACTGGATATCAGAGTAAATATTTCAACAAATGGACGTCTTTTTTTGTAATATTGTCATAATTTTGTTTCAATGATGAATAACAGAAAACAATAATATATATATATATATATATATATATATAAGTTATGAAGAACTTGGTAATCGTATGGGTAATCCCAAGGAGGATGAAATCCTGAGAGCTCAATGTAAATCCAGAGCTAATATTTAAAAGAAAAATAGACCACTTTAAGGTACCATTATAATAATTTATTTCACCAGAGTCTTTTTAAAAGGACGCCGGATCATCAGATAGCACTTCAATTTTAATCTCATTTTTCGTTTCATTTCGTTCAGTCATGATTGTTGCAGTTTTTTGTTTATATATATATATGTAACTAGTGAGTTAGCCCAAATGACTTGACTCACTTTATAGTCCACCAATAGAAGGTTAACCAATCAGAAGACGTAGAACATTCAATCCGTCGTGTATAAAGGCGGCCATTTTTGTTCACTCTACCCGAATGTCCAGTGCCAGCTTGTCAGGCGAAGAGAAACAGAAGGACGAACTATGTTCTGCTACTTTTACCAAAATATCCACTGCTAACCTGAACAACGCTTTCCTACTGTCTTCAAAATATTCACTGCTAACCTCTGGATTCTATACTCGAAGACGACCGTCATCATGAACAACAATGATGACTTATGATTTCGTACTAGCACAAACATCGACTGCTCTTGAACAGCTTGGTCTATCCAATTTTACCCATGTTATGTTTCTTTTTCCACTGATGCCCCCGCTGTTTATCCCGAGATTCTCGACAAAATCCAAAGGCGGATAGGCAAAGTGATCAGTTCTGACTTTGGATTTCGACTCCGACGATATGTGGCTTCTCTTTGTCTTTTCTATAAATATTTTCATGGCAACTGCTCTGACAAGCTATTTTCACTGGTACCCGGGCTGCATGAATTTAAGCTTACTACTAGGTTGGCATCTCGCTTCCACCGTTTTACTGTCGAAACCAATAGACAAATAAACTTCTCCTCCAATAGAATCTTCTGTCGCACTTCCCGACAGTGGAACTCCCTTCCTCTTACTTGCCTCCCTGATAACTATAATCTTCAAAAATTTAAATGTAATGTCAATCGACATCTTCTGATGACTTGATCCCTGTTCTTCTTTTTATCCTTTCCTCTTTCCCGCTTCTACCCAAGTCTTTTCTCTTACTTCAACTCGCCGTAATCCCTTGAGGTTTAGCGGTACTCCAGCCCTCTTTCCAGGAAATGCTTATAAGAAAAAACAAACTTTCCAATGGTACCGCGGGTCTGAACAGCTCCCCCTCGCTGATAACATCTAGAAGCCACCATCCTGAAAAAGTCGACCATGCGGAAATTCGAAGCGAATGTTGTAGGTAATGGGGCACCGCCCCATTATAGATATAAATAATTCTTCGCTAATCTTTTTCGTGTATGACTGTATGTTAGGGGGAACGGCTAATCCCTATGACAGCTTCCTGCTTAGATATATTTGTGTTTCCTTAACGCCCACACAGGGAATCTGTATTTTATACCACAATTTGGAGAGAAAAGCCGTCCTCTAATGTGATCTCCAGTTGATAAAGGCTAGAATGGTTTAATACTCGATGATGATAATTTGTGTTTTTTTTCTAGCGCAACCATCGACATTTTCTCGAATATTTTCTCGATCAAAAGACATTCACAGAGTTCAGTTGTGTTTCCTTCAACCACACGCAGTCAACTTATGATTTATACTGCAACTATGAGAGAGAGAGAGAGAGAGAGAGAGAGAGAGAGTATAATTTCATGTGACCAGTAGTTAAACAATGACGGTACCATCAAAAGATCAGTTATGATGATTTGGGAGACGGTGTAAACACAATGAGGAGTCCATTGTTTATTTTTCTGCGCGCTTTCAGTTACTGTAGCCATTTTCAAGAGCAATGAGTCTAATTTTCTTGTTAATATACACCAATATTACAAAATATATATATATATATATATATATATATATATATATATATATATATATATATATGATATAATGGCATATGCATAGACCTGAGATCCCCCTCACTGGAATATGATTTGCTGGTGCCCGTCATAAATACCGACGGCCATTGGACTATATTTAGTCGTCCCCCACGAGGGTGTCATGTGGTACAAGGCCTTTTAACGTGGGCATTTCCGAGCCATTAGGCTCGGCAAAAAATAGCTCCATTTGAACCCGTATAAACGGGTTCAGGGCCGAGTTTACCTCCCGAAGGAGATTCCGCCCTTCGGCTTAGCCTCCTTCGGGTTTCTCTCCGTCCGTAGACAGAGAGTTGAACCGAACCGTCGCTCAGAAAGTGAACGACGGACGCCCATTGGACTACGCTATTGATCTACACTTCTTACCTGCGACTACGACGCGTACCAGGCGATTACTGCTACATTATTCTACTTGGTTATAGTAGCCAAAACCACTTAGCTATTTCGTTCAAATACATCCCTTTCCGGTACATATCAATATATATATATATATATATATATATATATATATATATATATAATATAATATAATATAATGGAATATGCATACACCTATGTTCCCCCTCACTGGAATATGATTGGCTGGTGTCCGTCATAAATACAGACGGACGTGTAGTTACGACAGTGTTTAAGTCTATGAAGACGCCCATTGGACTACGCCGTTGGCTATCTTATTCGTCTACACCTTTTACCTGCGACTACGACGAGTACCAGGTGATTACTGCTATCGTGTACTACTTGGTTACAGTAGCCAAATCACTTACTTATGGCGATCAAATATATCTTTTTCCAGGACATATCAATATATATATATATATATATATTAAGGAAAAACAGACCACTTTAAGGTTCCATTATAATAATTTATTTCACCAGAGCCCTTTTAAAGGACGACGGATCATGGGATAGCACTTCCAAAAAATGAAACCAAATACATATATATATATATATATATATATATATATATATGGCACATGACTGGCCAGTGGTTAGAAAGTTCGCATTCTGGCCATGAGACCAAGGTTTGAATCTCAGCTGGTTGATTTGTTAGGAAGGAGATTTCTTGATGTTATCAGACTGGAGGGTGCGTTTCCAGCGTGCGTCACCTTTGGAAGACCATACCACGGGTTGACCCAAAACTTGTGAATGAAATTGGTGCTGGCACGAGGTCACAGGTCATCGTGCCCGGGGGCTTGAGCGTATTGGCCTTGTTCAAATTATTAATCACGCTAGATAACACGCTCTTTCCACTGAAACCGTAACTAAGATCTGCTGTAGTTGCAGTATGAACCACGGGTGGGCTCTGTAGGTGTTGAATAAACACAAATGCGCCTGAGAAAGCGTCTGCGACGAGGATTGGCTAGCCGCCCTAATAGACGGGTATCCTCGAATACGAGTGGCAAGCTCTCTCTCTCTCTCTCTATATATATATATATATATATATATATATATATATATATATATATATATATATGCTCTCTCTCTTTCTCTCTCTCTCTCTGTATATATATATATATATATATATATATATATATATATATATATATATATATATATATATTAGGCAGCATATTTTCATTCAAACTGGTTTGGTTAAATATTTTAGACATATCATATCGATTAGTTTTCGTTGTGATCCTTTTCAAGTACTTGGTAGCCTTAGAAAATTGATTATGAAAAATAACAAAATTTTATTTCAAATAGTTTTTCTTTTCCCAAGTACTTTCAATCTCATCTAAGACCATCTTTAGGGAGTTTAGTTGTCTGTGTATACGTATATGTGTTTTTGTAAATTCAAAACACTTCAACTGTTCGTTTTTACTGTTTATGCAGCTCTCTAGATTTCAATGTTCAAAGTTCATGTTTTTTCCTCAGTAAAAGGGCAGTAACTTTTCCATACAAATATCATTTTTTTTTTATACATTTTAGGTTGGACGACATTTTTAACTCTTCGCAATATTCTTGTGTATATATATATATATATATATATATATATATATATATATATATATATATATATATATATATATACTAGCAGTAGAGCCCGGCGTTGCCCGGGGATGTAACAGTAAGAGATAGATCAAGTATCGACCATCATAAAGAATGAAAAATAAAATTGACAGAGATTATTGTTTAGGGTTGATGGACATGCATGTCTTAATTAGGTTTTTGTTTTTTGTTTTTTTTACGAATTGGTCAAACCCAAACTCAAACAAAAACATTGTTTTCAATCGTTATGAGTCTACCGATTGAGTAGAATTTTTCAATTTTATTATAAACAATTGTCTTGTAAATTAAATTTTAAAAGCATTCTGAATGTAAAAATAAAGAAAAAAGTGTGCAAGACAATAAGAAAAACTACCTGCCAAAAAAAAGTTAAGTATTGTTGAAATCGGTTGAAACATGTAGGAAATCCGATCCATTATATAAACGAACACACACACACACACACACACACACACACACACAACCAACCTTGGTTTTATAATAAGTATAACTCGATATTAATAAGTATAACTCGATATGAGTTGTCCCCCTTTCATTAATGCCTCTTAATCGTGCTTTCAAATTGATTTCGTGCAAAAACAATTGTGTTTTTTACAATTTTTGGCGCTGTCAGAACCACCGCAATGTAATTTTACGTAGTCCTGTGAAGTTTTGTTGAAATCGGTTGAAAAATGTAGGAAATGCGATCCAATATATAAACGTATAGACACACACACACACACACAATCTGCGTTTTATAATAAGTAAGATATAAAGTGTGCATTGAAGTCAACATTGAAGTCAACAGAGGCGACAGTCTGTTTCATGGTTAAACGTCAGACCACCTGTCGATTGTGTTTAAGCATGAAACAGCTTAACACCTGTGGGTGTTGACTTCAATGTCCACTTTTATATTTACTTGCATAACTTGATATTGTGCACTTTAACACATAAATATAGTATACTGTAAAACTATATTTCATCATATATATGTGTGTGTGTATAGAGATAGATAGATAGATAGATAGATAGATAGATAGATAGATAGATAGATAGATAGATAGATAGATCAATGCAACTGAAATATTGCGCAGCTTTTTGCATATATGTTTTCATTTATAGTTATGCATTTTAGAGTTCCTAAAAGTGATCTTCAATGCAGTCGCAAGATCTGTCGCCTGTAAGTGCTAACTCGCTACCTCTTCAGAAGTCTTATGCATCTATAAATGTTTTTCGCTACTTATGATTAGCGATTTTGGCACTTTCCCACATTGCATCACTCGGTGAAAAGCCTACTTTAGATGTGCAGACAGCACGCCATCCTTTCTATATGTTCATTAACTTTGATGCTTACTCTAAGAAAAGATAGCGAAATTTGTCTCCGACGAAATATAAAGTAATCGGTGAATAAAACGCAGAATTGTACTACTTACCTGCCATGTTTTTAAGGCAGGAAAAGCTTGCCCCAGCGTGTCATATAATTGTGAGAGTGTTAGCTATATACTTATAAATTAAAATTAAAACTTTGTTTATATCCAAATAATTTCTTTTACTTTTTTTATTTTTTTTTTGCTTTAAGCGGTTTTGATTAGCTTTTCAAAAAGTTTTTAACTGTTTCTATCTCCACGTGTTAACGCTTATGTTTCGAACAAATAAAAAAAAACGGAATAAAAAATGAAAAAGGTCAGATGCTGTCCTGAGCATTCATCTACATGTTGGATAAAGGGTATTTTTCTGGTGTTATTGTCATCTTTTGCCGGAGTGACTGTTTCGCCCATGTAATTCTCGTGGCAATCTTTGCATGTAATTATGTATATCAAATTCTCTGAGTCACACGAGAAATCATTTCTAATTTTTAATTTTGATCCGACTTTGAAATGAAAATCGCGGGCCTCTAATATGTATCTGCATACTCCGCAAAGGGGTCGATTGCTTTTATTCACCTGAGGGTCTTTAATTGGGTTCTATAGTTTTTCACTCGTCAGTATGATTTTTAGTGATTCTGGTTGTCATTTATAATTTATGATTGGGTATTTTCGTAATAGGCTTTTCATTAGCTTGTCCTTTCATAGGACTGGTAGATTTAGTTGTATGTGTGTGTAGATTTTTGTGTGTTTTTAGGTTGAAATTTAAGATATAAGCGATGACCTTTTTTCTTTCTTCCTTTTGTTTCTCGGAGTATGTGAATGTTAATTTGTTTTGCTTTTTCAATACAATTGTTGATCAAAGTTTGTGGGTATTTTCTCTTGAGTACTTTTTTCATCTCTTTTACTCTGTGTTGAGTACTTTTTTCATCTCTTTTACTCTGTGTTTTTCCAATATATATATATATATATATATATATATATATATATATATATATATATATATATACACGAGATGCATTTCAGAGTTTTTTTTTTATTAATTTCAAAATAAAACTGTACTCAAAGTAGGATCATATGACTTCAATGCACTTATTCCAGTGCATCAGCCACTTCACGAAGGTCCCCCCTGCAGGTTATCCGAATTGAGGGCGTCCATGACTGTTGTCACAACCTCCTTCATCTTCTCAATGTCTTCAAAACGACTGACCCTGATGTTCTCCTTCAGCTTGAGGAACAATCAAAGGCTACAGACAGCAAAGTCTGGACTGTAGGCACGGTGAGGGATAGTTTTGATGCTTATCTCAGTCAACCAAAACAGTTATTGCATTACATACATATACGATATCTATCTATCTATCTATCTATCTATCTATCTATGTCAGTCTCTTCTTTATCTATCTATCTATCTATCTATCTATGTCAGCCTCTTCTTTATCTATCTATCTATCTATCTATCTATCTATCTATCTATCTATCTATCTATCTATCTCTCAGTCCGCTCTTTATCTAGCTAGCTCAGTTTGCCCTTATCTATCTAATTCAGAATCTATCTATCTAGCTAGCTATCAGTCTGTTCGTTATCTAGCTAGCTCAGTCTGCTCCTTATTTAAGTCAGACTCTATCTATCTATCTATCTATCTATCTATCTATCTATCTATCTATCTATCTATCTATCTATCTAGTTGTGTTCATATCTATCTATCTATCTAGAGTCCATATCTATCTATCTATCTATCTATCTATCTAGTTGTGTTCTATCTATCTATCTATCTAGAGTCCATATCTATCTATCTATCTATCTATCATATCTATCTATCTATCTATCTATCTATCTATCTAGTTGTGTTCATATCTATCTATCTATCTATCTAGCTAGCTAGCTATCTAGCTAGCTAGCTAGCTATCACTGCCTGTTTTATATCTATCTATCTATCTATCTATCTATCTATCTATCTATCTATCTATCTAGTTGTGTTCATATCTATCTATCTATCTAGTTGGGTTCATATCTATCTATCTATCTATCTATCTATCTATCTATATCTATCTATCTATCTATCAATCACTGCCTGTTTATATCTATCTATCTATCTATCTATCTATCTATCTATCTATCTATCTAGTTGTGTTCATATCTATCTATCTAGTTTTGTTCATATCTATCTATCTATCTATCTATCTATCTATAGAGAGAGAAAGCGAGAGAGAAAATCAGAGAGATAGTGTTGGATGTTTGAAGGACAGTCGCTATTTACAGTTGATTCCTATGCCCTTCTATTCCAAACGCTCCATATATTTGAAAGTTAAATGTCATTTTATTTTGTCGCCCAGAGAGAATTTTTTTAAAAATTATATGAAAACATTATATATCCTTATGTCGTATATATGTATATTTATTCATTTTTGGAGAACAATTCACCTGAGGCTTTCTAATTCCAATCACGCCTTTTTTAACAAAATATTATCAGAATGTTTCCCCAGGACTCGTTAATTTAGGCTGAGAGCATTTTAGGACCGAGTGTTTTATTACTGAAAATTACAATAAATTATAAATAATATTTCACCCCCCACCTTTTATTCCCTCAGTCTCATCTATCTGAAACTTAAGTTCATTTTTATAAAATATCAAAGTCACCCATTAAAAAAAGGAATTGTATGCGAAATCTACTTTTCACGAAATGTAAATAACAATTCATTAGTTTTTGTCTTTGTAAGTGAATTTGATATGCTATTAACATAGATCGCCCTATAATGAAGGAAAAATAACAAAAGATTTTATAATTACCTCTATAAATATATATTTTAATCATTTCAATCCAAGCAAGGTGGGAATGCCACGAGTACGCAAGGGTTGCAGGGAGTGAAAGTGAAAGTGAAAGTGAAAGAGAATACTGAGAACACGGAGGATTTAGGACAGGATAAACAGGAAGAGGAATCAAGAAGCCAGCGATTGCTGTTGCATTTAAATCTTTGAAGATTGTAGTTATCATGAAAGCAAGTAAACGGAAGAGAGTTCCACTGGTGTGAGAAAAGTAACTCTTTGGGTTATAATTGGCGGAGGGTGAATTTACCCATTTCAACAGTAAAAGTTAAGGACTTTACTGCTTTACTCATAATTGACTTTATTTCTTTTGGACTTTAATTCTCTTATATAAAACGGCTTCAAGAATTTTAAGTTTTTCTTTCTTATTTTTAGTAAATAATATAGATGTATTTTCAACAAATATCCGTCTAATTTGTGGGTATGAGTGTTCCTTTAAATGCTGAGTTATTGAGCTATGCTCAGCCAAATGAAAATGTAAGTCTTTTTGTTAGTATCGTCGTAATAAGGCCAACGCACGTATTGACATATTTATCAGAAATACAATCTCCCAAAGGACATTTATATTGATATGCAACGTTGGACTTTTGCAAGGGTCACAGCGAAAAATTATTGAGATGATATTATTATTATTTATTATTTAACCAACAAATATATATATATATATATATATATATATATATATATATATATATATATATATATATATTAAGAAAATTATACGGAAAAAACAAACAAAAATCCTAATATGCAATTATGCTGTTTTAATGTTAATATAATGTCAGCATCGGACGTTTCGGTCTAGTAGACCATCTTCAGGACATATTCATAAACCATAATTAACATTAGACTATATTCAATTCAACATGAAAAGACGATAGACATAAGAGTAATACTGATCAAAACAGATTAACATTAAAACAGCATAATTGCATATTAGGATTTTTGTTTTTTTTTTTCCGTATATTTTCTTCATACTGTCGGATCTATATCCATATATTCGCTTACACACACACACATATATATATATATATATATATATATATATATATATATATATATATATATATATATGATTAATATAAATTAATCTTTTTACTTCTATTTATAAGTCAACTTCGTAAGTGTGCAAGATGCATTCTGTGGCGAAAGAAATATCTGGCCATCAGAGTATCCTAACATTTCTTCCAGTAGATGCAGCTATTATTTCGATGTAGTTGCTCCAATTCAAGTCAGTGGAAGACGTGAGGCCAAGAAAGCACAGTGTTTTTGCTGTCCTGGTGTTTACCGCCAATCATGCTGAGGGCAGACAGTGGTAGTTAATTGAAAGCAGTTTGAAATTATACCAATGTTATGATGGACTCTGAATTTGCTTTGTAATGTATTTCTTGTTATTATAAATGTTTTTTTAGTGGGTATGTATGTTTGACATTAATGTCAACCAGCCTAGAGATTGAGAAGTCTTTCTTAAAGAAAATGTACCAACCCAAGGCGCACCCTGTACTTATGCCGTGCTTGACTTTAGCATTCGTAATTTTAAAACCCAGAACAGTCACTTTACAAGTGGTGCTGCTGAAAAACTGCGACGGCATGAGAAAGGCACCTTCTTTCACCAATACATCATGCAATAAGTAGTCATCCCGAAATATCACATTAACCTACACGTGCCACCAAGAACACATTAGGACTTCAGGTTGATGTCCAGCTTGACACTAATGGTCACTAAAATGACGTTATACCGGTCACTTTGCAATGACATTAATGGCGCTCTCGGTCCAAATGACTAGTAGCGTAACCCATGCAAAGAAAACAAAGATCCAGTGAATCCGGTTTGGTCAGTGGTCGAAATTGACTGTCTATGTGTCCATTGTCTCTGCCAGGTGAAAGCATTGGCTTCTGATTTTTAATGTAGGTAG